TTTATTTTCTTAACCTGCTCTGCTCTTTGGAGGATGAAATAAGATTTGGGTGTCGTGCAAATCTGCAGCCGAGTCTCCTCTGCACATCCATCTTCCCATCTGTCAAAATGGACGGGGACTTCTTTAGTGCTGGCTTGTTCCTCCTACACGCAAAGAAACCAGGCTGGTGCAGGGTTCTGTGGTGGGTGACATAGCGCCTGGAATATGCTTCCATCAAAGAGGCATCCCCTACCGATTGCAGACAGTTGTCGAGCACCTACTGTATGCAAGGACCACAGAGAAGACTAGGATGGGTGCCGCCTCCCGCCTCCGTGGGCTTCCAGTCTAGCCAGGCCGAGGGCGACCAACCCACGGGGCAGTGGAGAGTCCTGGCTCTTGACACGCGTTGGGAAGGAAGTACCTGGTGGACAGGGTGGAGGGGGCGGGTGCTTTCCTGGGTGGGTGAGGAGGGCTTCCCGGGAGGCACCCTGGGAGGAAGGGCGCGCACACGGGGCGGGTCGATGCTGCGAGGTGGAGGTGTGATGGTGCCCGCCCCTCTCCCTGTCAATCACCGATCCCGGGAGCCCACTGGAGGGCTGCAGGGGCGTGGCCCAATGTGGGCAGGAAGGGCTGCTGCGGATGGACGCCCCTGCCCCGAGGGAAGCGGTCCCCAGCCAATGAGAGGCCAGGGCTGGGGTGGCAGTACCCGGGGGGCTTCCTCGCCTGCTCGACCCAGGTCCCCTGCTGGCCTGAGCCTAAACCTGCCATTGGGTGCAGCCAAGTCACTGCTGTCCCTTCCCAGAGCCCTCCCCTGGTCCCTGCTCCTGGTGCCTGGATCCCACCCCAGATCCGCTGGCCCAGGGGTGCTGCTCTTGGGGCGCAGCTGCTGGCCCAGCAGGGTCAGCGAGTGGCAGATGTCCTTGGACCCCCAACTGGGGTCCCCCTGAGATTTCTCTCCAGGCCCTGCCCCCACCCCCGGGGCCCCTGGACCCTAGGTCCTCGGGCTGGGGAGCTGAGTAGGGTCCCCAGGGCTGGCCTTCGACCCGCCCCCCACACTGTTTCCCAAAGGGATTAAATAAATACGTCCAGCGGGAGGGGAGGTGGGGGAGGCGCTCAGTGCCCACTGGCGGGAAATTAAATAATGTTCCTTTCTGCGGCTGTGAGCCGGAACCGGCCGGCGGAGCGGGCGCGGGCGGCGGCGGCGATTGGCAGCTCGTGGCCAGCCCTAAATCAAAGCAGCCGATGAAATTTCTAATAGCGGGAGTGCGGCTGGCATGGGCGTATAAATAAAGTCCCCCTCTTGAAAGGCAGCTTATTCCAGCCTTGCGCCAAGGATATTAAGCCCAGAGGACCAGTGGCTACGGCCAGGCTGGACCCAGGCCAGAAGCCAGCTGGGCCTGGGAGACGCGAGTCCTTCCCCAGCTGGCCCTGGCTGTTCTTAAAATGGTCCCCGGGTTGAGCGCCCGGGCATGCCCAGCTTGGACTTGGATGGGTGTGCGTTTGTGACATGGGGCCACAGATGGACACAGCAGATTTTGATCATTCTCCTTGTCAGGTTGGGCTCACCGAGGCTCAGAGGTGTTAGGTGTTCTGTCCAAGGTCGCACAGCAGGCTCCTGGTCCCTCAGTCTGGGCATGCCATCTGTCTATCTATCTGTCCGTCCATGCATTTGCTGCGGTGGCCACAGGGTCTGGCCATGGCCGGTCTCTCTACTTTCTTCGTGCCTGCAGTGTCGGGTGCTCTGGGTCCCGGGGCACCCGGCTGGTCCAGGTCTCTCCCAGAACTTATTGTCTCAAAGGCCTCAGGAAATTAGTGAATGGGCTTCCCAGACACAACAGGTGTCCAGGAAGGACCTGGAGGCGGACTCAGGGCTGCATGAGTGACCTCTGGCCTTGGGCATCATCAGAGAGCGCATCCCTGAGGCCGAGTTCCAGGGAGGGGAGCCGTGAGGACAGAGGACGTGGGGGCCAGCGAGGGGGGGCCCCGGAGCCCCTGTGGCCAGGCCAGGGCTCTAGGGGGACAGTGGTGCTGGGGTCCCACCGTCGTGCAGATGAGCAAACTGAGTCCCAGGATGAGTCCACGAGCCGAGCCAGGGTGGGTCTGGGCTTGGCTGCCTCTGGTCCAGGGCCTTCCTAGCAGGGAGACCAGCAGGGCCCGCTGGGAGGTGACGCAGCGGGAGCTGAGTGGCGGGTGTGCCTTGGCTCCTCCACGCCAGCATGAGCTCCGGCGGAGCTGGAGGAACTGCCGGGTGGGTTCATTCACAGCTGGCCGCAGGAGCTGGATCCAACCTAGAGCCAGAGGCTGGGGCCTGGGCTTGGGGCCTGGGGCGGGCCTGGCAGGACGCACTTGGGGCTTGAGCTGACGTGATGGACAGGAGCCAGCCGCGCCGCCCTCTTGGCCCAGCCTGCGCCCTCAGCCCTGGCTGCACCTCCGGGACAGATGCTCAGGTCACTCTGGCTCTCCGCCCTGTCCCCGCTGTCCCTGGACTCGGTTGTTTCTGACTCCGACTTCCCGCGCTGCCCTTTTGTGCGGACTCTTTTCTTTGGGATTGGAATTCCTTTTCTTTCTGGTTTGGAATCCAAGAATCTCTTGACAGGAACGTCGGGCCTGGGTTGGAGCCGTTCCTCGCGCTCCATGCGAAAGCCATTAGGGGCTGCCGGCCGGGCTGGCTCCCTTCCCCACGCCCTGCCAAAGTGTGTCCAGCTGTCAGCCCGGAGCCTGCCCGGCCGGACCTAATGCAAACCAGGCCTCGGAGAAGTCCGCTGCCATCAGGGCCCACGTCCCGCCAGCTCCGCGCCGGGGGTGGGGGGCTGATCCCCGGGTGGGGCCCCTCCAGGCTGCACATGGAGCCCGGCCTGCGCTGGGTGGCCGCGGGGGGCTTCCTGCAGGCCCAAGCCCCTCTGGGAGTACCTGGGGGCTTGGGGTGGTGGAGGACAACCCCTGAGCAGGGGAATGTGGGGTGCAGGGAGGAGTGCAGGGGAGATGCCCGAGGGGGCTTGGGAGAAGAGGGAGGATGGAGAGGTGATCAAGGTAGGAAGAGAGGGTCATGGGGGGGACAG